GGTCCTACCTTGACATTCAACATCAGTATCAACATGGTAGGTTCTGTACTTACACCCAACTACCAACCTTTGTTCATGTTCTCCTAGATAAGACGAGGTCCTACCTTGACATTCAACATCAGTATCAACATGGTAGGTTCTGTACTTACACCCAACTACCAACCTTTGTTCATGTTCTCCTAGATAAGACGAGGTCCTACCTTGACATTCAACATCAGTATCAACATGGTAGGTTCTGTACTTACACCCAACTACCAACCTTTGTTCATGTTCTCCTAGATAAGACGAGGTCCTACCTTGACATTCAACATCAGTATCAACATGGTAGGTTCTGTACTTACACCCAACTACCAACCTTTGTTCATGTTCTCATCATGATCAGTCAGTAGTTTTAAAAATGCTTTATGTAGTTCCACCATGGACGATATTTCTACCTTAACTTCAGTCCATGAATGTGCCAGATTATACATTGTCACATAACTCTCTGCTGTCGTTGTCTAAATGCCGATAAATTCCACAGACACATTACCAACAGTCCTTGGTTAGCCAATGGAAACTGTTATTCACTATTTCTTTTATTGCAATGACTATTCTGAGTTGAGACACAATTCATACTTTTACAAACCAGCATACACCATCACCTTTCCACTGATAGTTCACAAAATCTATTGAAATCTGTTCACATTTACTTTATGAAATCAGGCCGATTTGAAATAGTATGCAATGGCCATTAGAAGGACTAATTAACAATATCTATGCATTATCTTGGCCCAATCATAATAAGAATAAATATCCTGACTTATTTCTCCTGTGTACATTTCGTATTCTGTGTGTTCCAGAGAAGTCTTAACATAAGATATTTATAGCTTGTTACTAATACGTTCATGAAACATTTCATGAAATAAATATGTTTAAATCATGTCCAATGCAATTTCCTGTCTTGATGTGTACAAAATGTTTTTCTTTTTTAAGGGAATACTTTACTTGCCTTTGCCTGTATTTATGATCAGTGCCACTGTTGGGGCAGGATGTACTCACATTGTTGCAAACAGAATATGTCAGACTAACATTCTACAACCCTGGTGTGCTACTATGTCAGACAAACTTTCTCTTGAGTACAATAGCACTGTCAACATCCTAAGAAGAGCAACAAAGCAACATTCAATCAGGTTCAGTGCATAATTCTTCAAAGAAATACTGGAAATTGAAAACAAACTAGGGGCACACAAGCTTTACAGGAGAGATAGACTGCCTGCTCAAGACATGCTGGAACAGCTATTGATCTCTGATTACAGATATCCTAGCTGAAATGTTGTCAAGTGATAAAACACCGCAAACACTGGAGCCCCTTCGATTTTCATGTGCTCTAAAATCTGCCGCACTCCAAGTAACATGGCTCATAGTGAACACACTATTTCTTCATTTCAACCTATTTATAAGCTGATGTCTCCAATATTATTTTAGTTCCATGGTATTTTAGGCTGATGTGATCCACTGATTGATGACTAGAGGGGTATATATCCTACATATCTGTTCAGTGTTAATGATTTCTGTTCATGTTGATTCAAGAGAACAAGGGAGGAGGGTCATGAATATATGCAACTGAAAGAGGAGGCGTTATCATATTTTATCACGACTATGGGGGGTGTCATAAAATTTTACACAGTTATACTTTATTAAACACAAAGTCATACATTTGAACATTACATAGACACTTCTCATTTATTTTTGGAAGTGGAACCATGAAAAAACTGTCACATGTATTTGAGGAGGGTGAATAAAACAAATCTATATAAATTGGTGGGGGCAGGGGGAAACACTGACTGAAAGTTATTTCTCTTTATTTTAAGGATCAGACTGCAAAACATATTGCTTAACACTGTTAATCTGTTTCACAAGTAGTGGTAAAACAAGGCACAGCCACAGTGACAACAATTTCTAGAAGTCCCCAGAAATCATTACACATTCCAAGATACATTTCCAGCGTCATTACCTTCAGTTTGCTATAATGCTTGCATATGTTTTTTAAGAAGATAGAGGCGATATGCAAGACAGGGTAACACTGATACATAATCCTGCCATATGGAACTAATCTGTATGGACATACTAATGTTTAAAGGCTGGTTTTAAACTGGTTCCTAGACAGCTTGATAAATGCCACCCTATTTCACTGTATGTCATACATCATGTACATTATTTAATTTTAACAGTGGAATGCAGTTCACGGGGAACCACCTATCAACATTATTAATTCACACCTGATTTCTTTACCTGTTATATGGGGAGGGAGGGACATGCTTGACATATGTAACAGTTTACATATTTTGTAATGTATTATCTTGGAGCAAAGCCTTTTTCACAGAGTAATTTGATCAGTACTGCAAGGACAAATGGTCGATCCATCATCAAACATCCTAAAAAACTCAAATGCCATTCCTAAGTGAAATCAGCATGGGTAAATGTGATCTTGCTGCCAAGGCTACCAGCTGCAACATGCTGACATCCATCCCCTGTATCAGCTGAAATGCCAACACAGTGTGAGGACCTGTCAGGGGCGACAGCTACAAGATATCCACCACTCCATGGGGACACCTACAATGAGGACTTAATGGACTCACAGATCTGAAAGGCACTCGTTATGGCGCTGTGCTGCACAGAGGACGTGGAATAGATTCAATCTTTCAGTAAACCTAATTCTGTACAACAGTTTCATCATCTTCAACATCAAAATGAAACACTTGGGGGAGTCAAATACATGAGCTCTTTCAAGAAGGAATACAGGGAGTTAGTATTTGCCATTCACACATGTTATGTCACCCTTAGCCACAGACTCTCAACTCCAGTGTGGCTGTGTATGTCAAACCAACACACTGGGTGCAGGTCAAACCATAGTTCATAATGATTTCCCACTGTCAGCTTCACCTTATATTTTTCTATTAAGTCAACTGTAGCAAATAAATTCTGAAAATGAATCTTGCATACCTATAAAGCCTCAATTCACCAAATGTACAGTGTTGAGAATGTGATTACATAAACACATGAAGCACATGTTCATCAGTATGTAATTACTCTCATGAAAGAATGTGAAGTGTATACTTACTCTCATGAAAGAATGTGAAGCACAGGTTCATCAGTGTGTACTTACTCTCATGAAAGAATGTGAAATGTGTACTTACTCTCATGAATGAATGTGAAATGTGTACTTACTCTCATGAAAGAATGTAAAGTGTGTACTTACTCTCATGAAAGAATGTGAAGCACATGTTCATCAGTGTGTACTTACTCTCATGAAAGAATGTGAAATGTGTACTTACTCTCATGAAAGAATGTGAAATGTGTACTTACTCTCATGAATGAATGTGAAGCACATGTTCATCAGTGTGTACTCACTCTCATGAACGAATGTGAAATGAGTACTTACTCTCATGAAAGAGTGTGAAGTGTGTACTTACTCTCATGAAAGAATGTGAAATGTGTACTTACTCTCATGAAAGAATGTGAAATGTGTACTTACTCTCATGAAAGAATGTGAAATGTGTACTTACTCTCATGAAAGAATGTGAAATGTGTACTTACTCTCATGAAAGAATGTGAAATGTGTACTTACTCTCATGAAATAATGTGAAATGTGTACTTACTCTCATGAAAGAATGTGAAATGTGTACTTACTCTCATGAAAGAATGTAAAATGTGTACTTACTCTCATGAAAGAATGTGAAATGTGTACTTACTCTCATGAAAGAATGTGAAATGTGTACTTACTCTCATGAAATAATGTGAAATGTGTACTTACTCTCATGTACTTCCTCATGAAAGAATGTGAAATGTGTACTTAAAAGAATGTGAAATGTGTACTTACTCTCATGAAAGAATGTGAAGTGTGTACTTACTCTCATGAAAGAATGTGAAATGGGTACTTACTCTCATGAAAGAATGTGAAATGTATACTTACTCTCATGAAAGAATGTGAAATGGTACTTACCCTCATGAAAGAATGTGAAATGTGTACTTACTCTCATGAAAGAATGTGAAATGTGTACTTACTCTCATGAAAGAATGTGAAATGTGTACTTACTCTCATGAAATAATGTGAAATGTGTACTTACTCTCATGAAAGAATGTGAAATGGGTACTTACTCTCATGAAATAATGTGAAATGTGTACTTACTCTCATAAAAGAATGTGAAATGAAACTCTGTGAAATGTACTTACTTACTCTCATGAAAGAATGTGAAGCACATGTTCATCAGTGTGTACTTACTCTCATGAAAGAATGTGAAATGTGTACTTACTCTCATGAAAGAATGTGAAATGTGTACTTACTCTCATGAAAGAATGTGAAATGTGTACTTACTCTCATGAACTCTCATGAGAAAGAATGTGAAATGTGTACTTACTCTCATGAAAGAATGTGAAATGGGTACTTACTCTCATGAAAGAATGTGAAATGGGTACTTACTCTCATGAAAGAATGTGAAATGGGTACTTACTCTCATGAAAGAATGTGAAATGTGTACTTACTCTCATAAAAGAATGTGAAATGTGTACTTACTCCCATGAAAGAATGTGAAGCACATGTTCATCAGTGTGTACTTACTCTCATGAAAGAATGTGAAATGTGTACTTACTCTCATGAAAGAATGTGAAATGTGTACTTACTCTCATGAAAGAATGTGAAATGTGTACTTACTCTCATGAACGAATGTGAAATGTGTACTTACTCTCATGAAAGAATGTGAAATGTGTACTTACTCTCATGAAAGAATGTGAAATGTGTACTTACTCTCATGAAAGAATGAGAAATGTGTACTTACCCTCATGAACGAATGTGAAATGTGTACTTACTCTCATGAAAGAATGTGAAATGTGTACTTTCTCTCATGAAAGAATGTGAAATGAGTACTTACTCTCATGAAAGAATGTGAAATGTGTACTTACTCTCATGAAAGAATGTGAAATGTGTACTTACTCTCATGAAAGAATGTGAAATGTGTACTTACTCTCATGAAAGAATGTGAAGCACATGTTCATCAGTGTTTTTGCTGGGGAGAAGTCTTCTGCTTCGTTGCACTCAAACAGGCACACTGCAAAGAACTGAACCATCCGGAAAAATATCTGCTCGTCAACCTTCTTGTTGTGGACTCTCTGGAAGACAGATCAGAATGTGAACAAATAAATAACATATGCATTCAACAATTTCTTAACATATTTGTTTCTTTACAAATAATCCATTTCAGAAATATTTTGCCAACACACTCAATTTTGCTTTCTATGGATTGTTTTATACCCGACACACACTTTCACTCACACAGATTTATCCCCAATATTTCACTTCTACTGGGAATTTGACCAATGCTGCTGTTCTTCCCACACCTGGAGATCAGGCTTGTTTCAGATAGGAGAGGGACACATCCCTTCTCTGTACTATTTTTACGAAATCCTGAGAAAACCATTCCTCTCTTGCATGACGCAGTGATATTGCAGTGTGATATTGCTGTGTGATATTGCAGACTGATACAACAGTGAATTTGGATCAGACATTTTTTACACTGTAAACACCACTGGCATCTGGACAGGAAAAGTGGATTTGTTGAGGATGGTACACCACATGCTGACTGAGCATACAGATCAGCTACATGCAGACAATTTCTAATTGTCCGGTCAGAAACTTCAACTCAAGTGGCCTGATGCAAGTGAACATTGACTTGATTGTCTGTTTGGGTTCACAATAATCCCAAAGCCAGGTTTCACAATAATCAATCCAGGACTTGTGTGGTTGACCTAGGGCGCAATGTGCATCATCATTAACATTTTAAACTGGCAGAAACCTGTTCCAGAGTCTCACTCACAGACTTAGACACACTGAACATATTAACTACCTCTCAATCAGCTCCAACAGCTTGAAGCTTGCCAATAGCCTTTCCGCAACCCCAATCCGATCACAAATACTGCAGTACTAACAGCAATCATAACCAATTTCTTACTCTGACATTTCAACATATAACACTGCAGAAATTCTGCCAGTAAATGAGAATGTTGCTGTAGGCTGTAGTCTGCAGTATCACAGCAGCCTGGTATGGATGTTGGAATTGATGCTGATAATGGAATGCTGCTGAGGATCCAATCTTTCAGTTGAAGCTGATCTGGAACTCAAATCCATGACCAGTCTGGGACATATGCAACAAAGGGCACACATCTACACAGCCTGTTGTGCTGGGCCACTTCTGTCCTCAACTTGTGCAAATTTGGCAGCACACTGAACAAGAGATCAAGGAGTTTTTGTTTTCTCTACTGATCACCGTACTATCCCTCCAGTCAGTGGCACCACCAGTCACACTCTTCAGCTCTAGCTATTTCACCTAAGCACAATTCAAGGGGACCTTCATTAAGATACTGGCATGTCTAGCGGCATACTACCACTGCAACAAGGCAGAGCAGAGCAGAGCAGAGCAGAGCAGAGCAGAGCAGAGCAGAGCAGTGCAGAGCATCTTCCACAGATGCTCCCTTCTTCATTACACAGTTTTAGTACTTATCACTTCATCAACATTTGTCAAAAGATCACAACGCTCAGTCAACGAGATGAGAATTGGAGAAAGTGCACACACACTTGGTACAGCTATTGACAGTTTTCAAGAAAGTCCTTGTCATGGCACGTTTAGTGCTTATTCAGCATCATAAAAGCATTTGTCATGATATCATTTGCTAACAAAGTCTTTAGAGATATGAGAGAGGGCAATCGAATTATTGTCTCATATTCTTCAGAACATACATATAACATACTGATACTAACTGTAGATGATTGTATTCAAGTCTTGACTGCTTTACTATAATCACATACAGGTTGGTGAGTAACACATTTTACGTAAAACAAAGATCCTGCCACAACCAACTGATTTTCCATCCCAAGGAGATAAAAAACACATTATTTCCTTACATAAGTAACTAAACAGTTAATCTATATCAATGCCAATCACAATGAGAACAATGGACATGATACTATGTTATTATTACTACACTCACACATCAGTGAACATCAGTTAGTGGGGATGACAGTCAGCTCAATGCTCAGTGTATCAACTATGTCATGTCAACTGTAGCAGCCTTTGCAGAACCAATTCCATAGAATGAAGATGTAAGCTGCCTAAACTAATCATTGGCTCAGTCTGGATCTATACATTATTTTCTGAATAATCTCACCTTTAATTAAAAATATTATATGTCAGTAAAGAATAATACCAAGTCTTGACTATACAGAGAAACCAATTCCCTTTGTTGTAAAGGGAAAAACATGTGTGGACATTGTGAGTGCATCACTGAACAGCAACTTGAAACAATTTAGACAAAGAACCTTACTGTCATTTATCAAAACGACAGTGGTGAAACAGAAATGAAATCTTATTTTTTACAGCATGTGACAAAAGATTGCTTGCATCCTTTCCACAGATCTCTTATGAAGAACTATGTGCTTTTAAGATAGTGATGTCATTTAAATAATCAACTTCTACAGAGATGTGAGTTTCAGAGGTTTAAGCAAATTAGAGCACAAAAGATGTACCTGATCTCATATTGAATTAGAATTGCTATTTAGAATTCTTTAAAACTGTATGGTCATGTCAAGTTTTTGCCCACTAGACTTGTGATAGTGAGAAACTCTAAAATACTCCTCACAATGCATGAGTTACAGTGATGTAGGTTTGATATAACCACATTTGTGCTTTGTCTCCACAAACAAGCTGTATTTTAAACTGAACAATAAGATAATGCATTTAGCCAGAAGTTTGGATTACTTGCATTGGTTAATGTCAATATGTTTATTATTGATTAATGTCAATATATTTAGACTAGCACTGTAGTGGTGTTTACAACTGATATTTTAATGTCATGGGCCTATTGACATCAGGCCAACGGCAATCACAATGGATCGATAGTTTGATCATTAAACCACTACTCAAAACACACTCTATCCCTATTTGATAGCTGAATTGTGCCCAGGCTTCACATGAAACTGAGTTAAAAGCCTACCTGTGAATTGACATATCTTGCAAACCACAGTCTCCCCGGTGCATGCTGAAATAAAAGAAAAATGTTTATTAACATAATCAAATCAATTTTCACTCTCAACTTCTACAACTTCCCACAGGATGTCTGCTAATCAGGTTCCAATTCCATTATAATCAAAGCAAGTTTTTTCTGGTGTGGGATTGACAGACCTATATAGAAGGTCTAGACAGTACTGGCTGATAGTGGGATGAAGTCATTACCAAGGTCCTAATGTCACCTTCCTATTTCAGGTCCTTGGTGTCGATATCTGCTAATCACTACTCTGGCAGATTGCTAGAAGGTCATCGTTCCTGCTCATAATGGGATTAATTCTTCTAAAGGGAAAATCTTGTGCTATATATCATATCATTGTGGGCCATGAAGAGATTGGTTGAAAAATGTATCTTACAACATCAGTCTTGGTGCTGATTATGTTGAGGGTACACCAGTGGTGATGATGTTGATGTTGATATTGATGTTAAGTACAACAATAGTAATGAGAATGACGATGATTATGATGATGATGATGATGATGATGATGATGATGATGATGGCGATGATGAAGAGTACGCCAGTGGAGATGTTTAGACCAACAGTTCTATTGTAGATAAGAATGCTACTAAATCATGAAGCAGAGTCCAGTACAAATAACACACAAAATTTAAAACAGATATTTGTTTAGAAATGGGAAACCACTGCTCAAAGCAATGCCTCAAACCCCAGGCTGACAAAATACACTACTAACAGACACCAGAGAAAATCATCTTTCATAATTTCCATCTCCCATTAGGTCCTTCTTACACTGGAAGCCTGTGGCAAAGGAATTATATAAAGATTTATGGAAAATGCCCTAAGAAAATCAATTTCTGTCATAATTTCCCAATAAATCAGCTAAAATATCCCCAGAGCTGACAATGTCTCCATACTCTCAGTTTAGCTGACTTGCTGTTATTTAACAGTTTGTAAACAAAGCTAGATAGTAAATCGATTCAAAATTGCAACATTTTTAAATCTCTCCTGGTTGTGATAAAGAAGCTAACACAGAACTTTAAAACTTGATTCATACATTGCTCTTGATTAAAACATAATTCAAAAGAAAACCCCTTAACCTAAGATTAAAATGCTCTTCACCCTCCATGTGAAGTAAACGGAATGACCTTCTGTTACATTTTCAATTATATTTTCAAAATCCAAATAAAATTGACAGATGATCAAAGAATGACCTACAGTTAAGATAAGGAATGAGCTCTGGTGATGATAGATGGAATGAGCTCTGGTGATAATATATGGAATGAGCTCTGGTGATGATAGATGGAATGAGCTCTGGTGATGATAGATGGAATGAGCTCTGGTGATGATAGATGGAATGAGCTCTGGTGATGATAGATGGAATGAGCTCTGGTGATGATAGATGGAATGAGCTCTGGTGATGATAGATGGAATGAGCTCTGGTGATGATAGATGGAATGAGCTCTGGTGATGATAGATGGAATGAGCTCTGGTGATGATAGATGGAATGAGCTCTGGTGATGATAGATGGAATGAGCTCTGGTGATGATAGATGGAATGAGCTCTGGTGATGATAGATGGAATGAGCTCTGGTGATGATAGATGGAATGAGCTCTGGTGATGATAGATGGAATGAGCTCTAGTGATGATAGATGGAATGAGCTCTGGTGATGATAGATGGAATGAGCTCTGGTGATGATAGATGGAATGAGCTCTGGTGATGATAGATGGAATGAGCTCTGGTGATGATAGATGGAATGAGCTCTGGTGATGATAGATTGAATGAGCTCTGGTGATGATATATGGAATGAGCTCTGGTGATGATAGATGGAATGAGCTCTGGTGATGATAGATGGAATGAGCTCTGGTGATGAAAGATGGAATGAGCCATGGGGATGATATATGGAATGAGCCCTGGTGATGATAGATGGAATGAGCTCTGGTGATGATAGATGGAATGAGCTCTGGGGATGATATATGGAATGAGCTCTGGTGATGATATATGGAATGAGCTCTGGTGATGATAGATGGAATGAGCACTGGGGATGATATATGGAATGAGCCATGGGGATGATATATGGAATGAGCTCTGATGATGATAGATGGAATGAGCTCTGGTGATGAAATAAGAAATGAAATCAGGTGATGATATATGGAATGAGCCATAGGGATGATATATGGAATGAGCTCTGGTGATGATATATGGAATGAGCTCTGGGGATGATATAAGGAATGAGCTCTGGGGATGATATAAGGAATGAGCTCTGGGGATGATATATGGAATGAGCTCTGGGGATGATATAAGGAATGAGCTCTGGGGATGATATATGGAATGAGCCATGGGGATGATATATGGAATGAGCTCTGGTGATGATAGATGGAATGAGCTCTGGTAATGAAATAAGAAATGAAATCAGGTGATGATATATGGAATGAGCCATGGTGATAATATATGGAATGAGCCCTGGTGATGATATATGGAATGAGCTCTGGTGATGATAGATGGAATGAGCTCTGGTGATGAAATAAGGAATGAGCTCTTGGGATGATATAAGGAATGAGCTCTGGGGATGATATATGGAATGAGCACTGGGGATGATATATGGAATGAACTCTGGGGATGAAATAAGAAATAAAATCAGGTGATGATATATGGAATGAGCCCTGGTGATAATATATGGAATGAGCACTGGGGATGATATAAGGAATGAGCCATGGGGATGATATATGGAATGAGCTCTGGGGATGAAATAAGAAATGAAATCAGGTGATATATGGAATTAGCTCTGGTGATGATAGATGGAATGAGCTCTGGTGGTGAAATAAGAAATGAAATCAGGTGATGATATATGGAATGAGCCCTGGTGATAATATATGGAATGAGCCATGGGGATGATATAAGGAATGAGCCATGGGGATGATATATGGAATGAGTTCTGGTGATGATAGATGGAATGAGCTCTGGTGATGAAATAAGAAATGAAATCAGGTGATGATATATGGAATGAGCCCTGGTGATAATATATGGAATGAGCCATGGGGATGATATAAGGAATGAGCCATGGGGATGATATAAGGAATGAGCCATGGGGATGATATAAGGAATGAGCTTTGGTGATGATAGATGGAATGAGCTCTGGTGATGAAATAAGAAATGAAATCAGGTGATGATATATGGAATGAGCCATAGGGATGATATATGGAATGAGCTTTGGTGATGATAGATGGAATGAGCCAGGGGATGATATATGGAATGAGCTTTGGAGATGATAGATGGAATGAGCTCTGGTGATGAAATAAGAAATGAAATCAGGTGATGATATATGGAATGAGCCAGGGGATGATATATGGAATGAGCTTTGGTGATGATAGATGGAATGAGCTCTGGTGATGAAATAAGAAATGAAATCAGGTGATAATATATGGAATGGGCCAGGGTATGATATATGGAATGAGCTCTGGGGATGATATTAGGAATAAGCAATATGGATGATATATGGAATGAGCCCTGGTGATGATATATGGAATGAGCTCTGGGGATGATATAAGGAATGAGCTCTGGGGATGATGTAAGGAATGAGCTCTGGGGATGATGTAAGGAATGAGCTCTGGGGATGATGTAATAGATAACTTTGGTGATAATATAAGGAATGAGCTCTGGGGATGATGTAAGGAATGAGCTCTGGGGATGATGTAAGGAATGAGCTCTGGGGATGATGTAATAGATAACTTTGGTGATAATATAAGGAATGAGCTCTGAGGATGATGTAAGGAATGAGCTCTGGGGATGATGTAAGGAATGAGCTCTGGGGATGATGTAATAGATCTGGTGATAATATAAGGAATGAGCTCTGGGGATGATGTAAGGAATGAGCTCTGGGGATGATGTAAGGAATGAGCTCTGGGGATGATGTAATAGATAACTTTGGTGATAATATAAGGAATGAGCCCTGGTGATGATAAATAAAAACTCCTGTAAGAAAAAGAAGGTGTTCTGTAGTCAATGAACATATCCAACCTTTCCTTACTAAGGTGACTAAAGTAACAAAATGTGAATACTATGAACAAACATTAAGAACCACATCCTCAGTAAAAAAATCATCATCTTTGATCCAGCATTACTGTCCCTTCCATAGAAGGTTGGTCTTAAAGCAGATTATAATCCTCATATGACACAGTTCTCACAAAGGCGGGATTACAAACGGTGACCTACTGACATTACAACACTGATTATGTGCACTTAAAGGCCGGAATCCATTAAGGAACCAAATACTGACAGCTGCAGAGACTATTTGAGAGAATGATAAAATTTGACCTGTCATATACATTGAAGAAAGTGTGCTGGGTATTGATTTGGAAGAAAGTGATGTGTCCAGCACATGCCTGTTGATGCTGCTGGTGGAGGTGACTCAGAGTCTGTATCTCCAGGAAGGAACATGGGTAAAATGTAGGGAAGGTCACAGATTAATCATAACAACTTCCTATCTTTGAACACATGCACCGCGATCAGATGGGCAAGAGTACAATGAACACTGGCAGGAAATATCACATGGTGGGATTACAGTTGGTTTGACATACCCAGTTATTAACTAGTTTCCATTCAAACTCTATTTGCCAAGAAAGCCTCTATTAAGCATTTACGAAAATGCAGTGGTCAGGTCTGATTGGGGGCCAAATCGAAAGAACAGGTAAACATATCTTTTGTTAAACATAAAAGAAAGATATTATGTACATATTATTTTATTATGCCTCAGTCTGAAAGTCTAGCTAGGTTATAGATATGCATTTTTTTACATAATGTTGAAGCCGGAAGTAAACATTTAAAGTAACCTTACATTTCATCAAGTCATGCTTTGAGACTCATTCATGATATTATACATGATAGTATTTCTATTTTAGCTATATATACCCGCTATGTTATAGTTAACTGCAAGTCAAAAGACAATTCAATGTAATCCCAACATGCACCCTGTATCTGTTGGTCAGACAGTACACTCCATGCCAAGATCAAGAATTGT